GACACAACAAGACAAATATGTCACAGTCACTGAAAATCCCCAGAAGGCCACTGTCTCCAGTTATCACCAGTAAACAATGAAATTACAAAGGACTGCTGAGGAATAAATCAAAGGCAATGGGGACCCAAAGGAGGAGGTAAGTGAGATTTTTGCAGACACTTAATCCCCAAGTAGGACAGTTATTATCACCACTTTACATTTATAGGGAAATGAAGGATCCAAGAATAGTGACTAACCTGCAGAAGAGAGAGGAAGAGGAATTTGGTAGGAGCCCAAGGAGGGATAAGGCACAGAGAAAGCAAAGCGAGGAAGGCCAGTCTCACTTCCTAATATTTTTTTCCTGGGATACTTGGGATTTTTTTTTTTTCCTTTCTTTCTCTACCTTCCATTCCTCCAGAGACTCATTATCAAGGGAAATCCTCCTTTCTTCACTGTCTTCTCCAGAGAATCTTGGCCCAGGAGAAAAGGAAATGGAAAATGGCTTTGAGCCATCTTATTTGTGAGCTGGAAGGTTGACATCCCAGCAGGAGTTGTCTTAGCCTCCCTAATTGGGATTGGAGTCATGCAACCCTGCCTGGCCTCTCAAGTTGATTATAGGCCACTTCCTCTGAGTTGACTGGCCTATTTTAATTCTGTGTTAGGAAATCTCCCTCATTAGCATTTGCCGCTCGACTTGAGGGTCAGAGAATTTGTCAGATTAGCAAAGTTTATCCCTGGAACTTTCTCATCTTTCTTTTCATTCGTACAGAATATCCCCATGGACTGTCTTCCCCACTTTTCTGTTACCCACAATGGGTAATCTGATTTCAGGGGCCAGAGGAGGTAGTAAGATTCTAAGTCACTTGTACTAGGAGGTACAAAGAAAATGTGATGTAACGAGAAATACTGGTTCTTGGAGTTAGGAGACTCAGATTACAGGAGTAGACTTTTAGGCAAGGAAGGTGAGAGATTCCCATCTGCACTGGGTGGATCCTACTAGAAAGGGTTCGCTAATTCTCCATGAAGGTTAAAGGAATGCAAGCTGAGCATCCACTGTCCATGTCAATCTCCTGATGCATTTCCAGAGCTGAATGAATTGGAATTGTCACCATCACCAGCTCATTCCCAAATGGTATTCCCAACTCCCACGTTTTTTTAGCAGGCGGTGCTGAAAATGTGCCTGATGGGCCTGGTCAGAAAGGAATAGCCACATGAACAGCAACCACTGGGCCTGGGCGGAGTGTTAGCTGGGGTTCAGAGCAGCCAGCCTACCCGCTCTTTTCACAATCTATCCATGAAGCATTGCCTAATGCCCAGATCAAGTCTTCCCGGGACTCTTGCTGCCCTGCAGCACAGACAGGCTGGGTGGTCATCATATCTGTTCCCTTTTCCTGGACACTTGGCTGAATCACATTTCCTCCTTGCATCTAAGTGAGAGCATGGGCTCGGACAGAGGTGCTATGTGTGGCTCCTCCTAAGATGTCCACATAACCCTCCATGCTCCCGCTCTGTTCTTAGGGCAGCTGGATGTAGACAATTTAGAAGAGGTCTCCAGGATCCTGGAGAATTCCCACACTCTGGGAAAAAGTGGAGCCATGCATCAGAAGGAGCCTGGACCCCTGAGTTGCTTCATGGAGATCTGTCCATGAGAGCTGCCAACCTGGTACATTCACACTGGATGCTGAGTAAGTGAGAATTAGTTTCATTGCACTAAGCCACTGACCTGTGAGGGTTCTTTATTACAGCTTTTAACCTATCCCAACTAATCTCTGCCTCACTCAGAGAGTTTTCCACCCCAGTGTGTCTTCCAACTTTGTCCAATATCCTGCTTCCTAATAATTTCCTCTCCTAAAGAACATAAAAAGAAACAAAAAGCTATCTCTTAGGAGCAGAAGCAAACACAGCTGCAAAGCAAACAGCCACTGCAAGGGTCTGCAGAACAGCCAGCTCCTTGCCAGGCCTTGAGTAGGATATCATTCTATTGGCATCCATCCCCAACCTATACCTTCTCCATTGTGATGGGATATATAATCACTAACCTCCAACTCCATTAATTTTAAGCAAAAATTAGCATAAATAATCCAATCATAACTGATCTTAAGTCTCCTGCAGCTTCAGTTGACAGAAGGATCAGGCTGGCTGGGAGGTTATTAGATTACCAAGCATCTCCTTCCTACAAACGACATCCTTTCCCTATATACTCCCTGACCCAGGACCACCGGGAGGTGCCAGTCCTAAGCACCAAATTCTGCTGTCCTGAAGATGAGGGAAGGTAGCCCCAAGCCCTCACGCCTTCACCCAGTGCCCCTGCTGACCACAGTATGTAACTGGAGTAAATGACACAATTAGGGGGATCAGGAAGTCTCAGGTTGTGGGTCAGTAGGGATTATAGGTCTGGTGGTAGCCAGGAGTAGGGTCAAGCCATAGGAAGCTGAAAGATCAGGCTAGGACTAGAGACCCATTTGCAGCTGCAGAATAGACTGGATGTCCATGTTCTTCATAGGGACTGATCCAAGTGGCTGCTTTAGCCACATCTTCCAATGATGTCCATGATTTTGTACTCTTTCAGTCTCCACTACTCTTCAGGGGTGGGGAGGTACTGAGAAAGGGTTTCTCTGGATTTGGATTTTCTTTGAAGATTTCATTGAAGAGAGTCTCCAGGACTCAGATATCAAAGCCAGAGAAAGCTTCGGTCCATAGCAATAGGACAGCTCTCCTCCTAACGCTTAGTGACACTTTATGCCATTTGAACGTGAGCCCCAGAAGGCATTCTGCGTAATTCAACATCATATCCAGTGCCCGGAATAGTTGCAGCATATAGCTGGTGCCTCATTTGTGCTGAATGAACAAATAAAGGTTGGTGGAGTGGAAGGGAGCCAGGGGAATGCTGGTCCCCCAAAACAGGATATCCATCAGGAACGTCTTCTCCATCAGTATCCTCTCCCATTCGGCATTCTGACTCTGCAAGTGACAACCACCTCTACCATCTTCACGAGAGAGGAGGAGGTCCAGTTCTCCTCAAACCCCTTGTGACCTCTAGTAGGGGCTCCAGTTCAGGTTTATCTGCCCAGGGGTTAACTTCTTGGTTGTGGGATGAACTTCTCCTTTTTCTTTGTGCTCGCTCTAAAGGGGCCTCATACAGGAAGGGCTAGGTATCCATCTAAAATCCAGCCTTGCCACTGTATCAAAAAGAACCAAAAGGTCAGGAGGGTCATCAGAGCTCACCTTGCTTTCACTCCTACTCTTCTATGGTAAACTCTCAAAGACCCAAGTAAAAGATGGAAGATGTAATGGGGGAACAGAGGACCTTGGAAGAGCTGTTTCTAAGCTAGGACACTAAGAGCTTTAGCTTCCTGGGCTGGATTTCTAACAAATTTCTACCATTTTCTGCTTTGTCTCCATAGCACCTTCTCATCTAGGTCTCTCAAACATCCGGCCCGGCCATCCACAGCCAGTGGGCTCCAAGGCCCCCAGTTCTCCACTTCTTTCCAGACATCTCTCCAAATAGGCCCTCAGCTCCCTGGCACAGCTCAAGCCTTGGTCACCTTGCACCTACATGGTGCTATTCCCTTCCCCCTGCCACCCAATGTGTCCAGCCAGTATGATGCCCGCCACCCTGGTTAGTAATTTTATGTGGGTCAAATGAATGATCTCTTTTTGTCTCTCCCTACCCAGTCCTGCTAGTTAGCAAGAGGCTTCCCAAATGCAACCCTCCACCTGTGTCCCTGGTTCAAACCAGTTCCATAGATCCTCTGCCCTCCCTGTCCAAGTCCTGCCTGGCCAAGTCCCACGCAGCCAACAACCCCAGGCCCTGCTCTGGGGTCTTAACACATATTAACTAATTCAATGTTCGTATCATTAAATAGACACTACTCTTACCCTCATTTTACAGATGAAGGACTGAGACACAGAGAAATCAAAGAGCTCCAATGGTCCACAGCCCAGATTTGGAGCCAGCCAGTCTGCCAACCCCCCCACTCTTTAACCATCGGTCCAAGTGCCCTTTCCCACCCTCCAGCACTTAACCCTCCCTTCCCGGAAGGCCACTTAGTGTACCAAGGAAGTTTCATTCCACATCTGATATGGAGTAAAGTAACAATGCAGAAGTTGGTACATGCAAACCGATGACTGGTGGGCAGGATCCCAGATCCATAACCAGATAGTCTCTTGCTCCTTTTCCCGTCACAGAGCAGCACTGGCATCTGGTTCCTCCCGGGACTCTCTGCACTCCCCGCACTGCACAGAGGCGTTGGAGACCCTCGCCTGGCCCGCGGCTTGAGAGGAGTAAGGAGGTGCGGCAGATCCCTCCAGGCAGTCCCAGGAGGCAACAGCCGCGGTACTGCGCGGTCCAGTCCGCAGTCCGCAGATCCCAGGCGCTTGCTGCTCTCTGGCGGCCGGAGCCGGGAGCCGGGGAGCCCCGGAGCCCGGGGACCCGGGAACCGCGCCGTCTCCGCTCCGCGCGCCCAAGGGCACCAGCGAGTGACCGAGAGGCTGGGGGGAAAGGGCGGGAGGAAGGGGGACGCGGCCGAGGGGAGAAGAGGGAAGAGGCCCGGGAGGGGCGCGGCCAGGGGCGCAGCGCGGACCGCGAGGAGGGAGGGCGGTCGTGGGCGCCCGCGGCGAGGCAGGGGTGGCTGCGGCCGGGTCGGCGGGGACGCCCCCCCCCGCGACCCCCCGGGCCCCGGAGTCGCCGCTCGCCCGGCGCGCGCTGCCCCTCCGCCCCGCGCGGGGCGCCCCCTCCCTCGGCGCCGGCCGCCCCCTCCTCCTTCCCGGCGCTGCCCCTCCTCCGTCCCGCCCCCCGCGCCCGGTGGAGCGCGCCGCAGTGGCTCTGCCTGCACTGCCCGGCCCCCGAGCCGCCGCTCTGCCCGCTCGCCGGCCCCGGCTCCTCCACCGACCGCGCCGCCAGCCCCGGGAGCCCCGGCCGCCGCCCCGCCGGCCCCGCTCCGCGACCCAGGGACTCGGGCGGGACCGCGCGGCTATGCCCGGGGCCCCGCTCCCGGCCAGTCGCTCGCCCTGCGCCCGGGCCCGGCCCCCGACGGCCGCGCGCTGAGATGACTTTCCGCGACCTCCTGAGCGTCAGTTTCGAGGGTCCCCGCCCGGACAGCAGCGCCGGGGGCTCCAGCGCGGGCGGCGGCGGGGGCGGCGCGGGCGGCGCGGCCGCCGCGGAGGGCCCGGCGGTGGGCGGCGTGCCGGGAGCCGCGGGCGGCGGCGGCGGCGGCGTGGTGGGCGCGGGCGGCGGCGAGGACAACCGGAGCTCCGCCGGGGAGCCGGGGGGCGCGGGCGCGGGCGGCGAGGTGAACGGCACGGCGGCCGTCGGGGGGCTGGTGGTGAGCGCGCAGGGCGTGGGCGTGGGCGTCTTCCTGGCCGCCTTCATCCTCACCGCGGTGGCGGGCAACCTGCTGGTCATCCTCTCGGTGGCCTGCAACCGCCACCTGCAGACGGTCACCAACTATTTTATTGTGAACCTGGCCGTGGCCGACCTGCTGCTGAGCGCCACGGTGCTGCCCTTTTCAGCCACCATGGAGGTTCTGGGCTTCTGGGCCTTCGGCCGGGCCTTCTGCGACGTGTGGGCCGCCGTGGACGTGCTGTGCTGCACCGCCTCCATCCTCAGCCTCTGCACCATCTCGGTGGACCGGTACGTGGGCGTGCGCCACTCGCTCAAGTACCCAGCGATCATGACCGAGCGCAAGGCGGCCGCCATCCTGGCCCTGCTCTGGGCCGTAGCCCTGGTGGTGTCCGTGGGGCCACTGCTGGGCTGGAAGGAGCCCGTGCCCCCGGACGAGCGCTTCTGCGGCATCACGGAGGAGGCAGGCTACGCCGTCTTCTCCTCCGTGTGCTCCTTCTACCTGCCCATGGCCGTCATCGTGGTCATGTACTGTCGCGTGTATGTGGTAGCGCGGAGCACCACGCGCAGCCTCGAGGCGGGCGTCAAGCGCGAGCGCGGCAAGGCCTCCGAGGTGGTGCTGCGCATCCACTGCCGAGGCGCCAGCGCGGGCGCCGGCGCGGCCGACGGGGCGCACGGGATGCGCAGCGCCAAGGGCCACACCTTCCGCAGCTCGCTGTCCGTGCGCCTGCTCAAGTTCTCCCGCGAGAAGAAGGCGGCCAAGACGCTGGCCATCGTCGTGGGCGTCTTTGTGCTCTGCTGGTTCCCCTTCTTCTTCGTCCTGCCGCTTGGTGAGTGACCCGTCTCCCACGGGCCCTTTCCTTTCCTCCTTGAGCCTGTGGCTCTGCCTTCCCCCCGCCCCCCGGCTTTTTTAGACGGGGTTGGCCTTCCCAGGCGGACGGTGACTCTCCACCTGCGCATGAAGGGTTGACTCGGTTGAGCTCCCTGGTCTCTTAGGCAAGTGCACTTTGTGGTCGACGAACAGGGGCCCTTCGTACTTGCAGGATTCGTTTCGCAGGCTTCTGACTTCTTTCTTTCCCCCTCCGAATTGCCATGACAAGCCTTGGGCTTGTTTTAATATTTCAGAACCCCCTAAATATAAGAGATCTGTGGCATCTGTGCGGGCATCTGCCCCATAGTATGTGGCCAGCAGTGTACATGTTCCTCTACATGTCCACACACACACACACACACACACACACACACACACACACGAATGCCAACCTCCAGAGGTGGGTGCATAATGGGTGGGGTCTCCACTGAGGTGCAGCAAGCACGACATCAGCAGGTACGAGAAGCCACCTGCTTTCTCCAGGAACTTCTTCAGTTCCAAATGGCCAGGAGACCCTCCCCACCTGCTATCCGGGAATGCCCTGGGCTCTCACTTCTGAACATCTCCTTTTGGAGGTAGGGTGCTGTGTGGGATGGGAAGGAAGGGGATAGAGACAAATTATCAAATGAAAAGTTAGTATCGTTCATCGATTTTTCTGACATTTAGTGGGTCCTTTAGCTCTTTTGAGAACTTTCCTATTTGTTTCATCAGCTTCCCTGCAGTCCTGGGAGGTGGGCAGCAGTTCTCAGGGGCTTAGTCCCACCCCTGAAGGCTCCTCCTGGAGGCATTGGGGCTGGGTCAGCAAAGGGAGGTGAAGGGGAGCACCATCTCTGGGGATGCATTTGCCCTGAGTCATTTTGCCCATGGCTGCAACCTCAGCCATCCCCAGCTAGGCCTCCCCTGCCTTTCCCTGACCCTGCGGCTGAGTCAGGAAGGGGACGATGGCCTGCCTCCTGCTCCCCTGCAGGCCCTCTCCACATAGTGGCCAGAGTGAACTTTATATATTATAAATTATAGTGTCACTCTCTACTAAAACCCCCTCAGTGCTTTCCAACTGCCCTGGGAACAGACTCCAGACTCTCCACCATGGCCTGTGAGAGGGTGACCTTCAAATTTATTATTGTCCAAACCAAAATGAGACGTGATGAATATTTATGCTGGGATCACAGGCACGAACCGGGACAGTGGGAGCAAACCCGGACATGTGGTCCCCCCTCCCGCAAGGAGGGCCTGGAGTGATGGCCTCCTGGCTTTGCTGCCCCTTGCTCACTGCGTGCTTTGGCTCCTCTGACCCGCTCCCGATTCCTTGCCCACAGCGAGCTCATGTCCTTGCACTTGCTCTTTTCTCTGTCTAGCCTGCCCTGTCCTCCCTCCTCCTGGCTAACTTTAGGTCTCCGTTTAAATGTCCCCTCTGCAGAGAGGTCTTCCCAGATGCTTCGGCTTCAATGTGTCCTCCTCTGTGCTCTCTCCCTTGGGGCACAAGTTGCTCTTCCTTTACTGGCTCCTTAGCTCTAATTACATCTGCATGTTGCTTGGTTGGTGTCTGACTTGCCTGCACTAGCCCTGAAGCACTTCAAGGGCAGGGCTGTGTCATTACCAAATCCGCAATGCCCAGGACAGTGCCTGGTATGTGAGGAACAACGTAGTGCAGCAATGAGGAACCACGGGCTCTGGCACCAGGCAGCCTGGGTTTAAATCCCAGCTCTGCCCCTGACTGGCTGTGCAACTTCGGGCAAATCCCTGAACCTCTCTGTGCTTCTGTGTCCTCATCTATAAAATCCAGATGATGGTGATAGTAACAGCACCCACCTGCAGGGCCTTCATGAGAGTTCAGCAAGTTATTATCTGTAAATATCACCATTCCTTGTCATGAGTGCCCTGTGAGCTATTGCTTTTGTAGTAGCTGCTCACTGAATAAATCACTGTTTTGAAAAGCAGCCAGCCAGAGGCTGTGGTGGGGGTAGAGGGAGGCATGGACACTGAGCAATATATACTTGTGGGGGAGGGCAAATAAGCAGCCAGGAGAAAGCCAGTGTGTCCCTCCCCTTTAAAACCTGCCCAAGATTTAGTACCACCTCCCACCAGGCTCCCCACCCAGGCTCCTTTCTCCCACCAACCAACCCCTGCCCTGTCCCTGACCAGCCGTGCCCCACCCCAGGTACCCTCATTACCCCCTGCCTCTCACTTCACACTGCCTCCCCCCCCCACCACATAGGGAATGATCAAGCTGTGTACAGAATGCCACCTCCCATTATGTTATTTTAACTTCTTTTAAAATTTTGAGTTATAGAATGATGCACAGAAAAGGAGAAAGGGGTATACCAAGTGTCTCTGTACCCATAATCACCCATATTGAACAGATGTTAACATTTTGCCATATTTGCCTCAGATCCCTCTCTCTGTTTCTCTTTCCAAAGAAATAGAACACAGCCAAAAGTACATTCTCTCTTGCTGTCCCTTCCTCCATGTCTCCCTCCCTCCACAGAGGTTAATCTGGAGTCTGTCACCCCCATTCATATGTTTATACTCTTACCAGAAACATCTATATCCACAGCAATATATGGCATTGTCTTGTGTGTCTTTAGGACCTAGATAAATGGCATTATGCCGTGCACATCATTCTTCAGTTTGCCTTTCTCGTGCAACTTTATGTCGGTCAGATTTATCCATGCTGGTTCATTTTAGCAGCAGTATGGTATTCCATTTGAGAGTATTCCATGGTGTGTTGATGCAGTCTTGTGCTGAGCATTCAATTTTTCATATTTTTCACTGTTACAGTCAACACTGCAGAGGGCTTTTGTTTTTTTGAGGTTTAGAGCATGTGCTCCTCTTCCAGGAAGTCAACCCTAAAATTCCATGCCCTTTGGCTCTTTCTCAATCCCTCCGTCTCTGCTGCTCCCCACACTTAGCATGGGGACCCCACCGTGTCCTTGTCTCCTCCTTCTCACCAGTCTGCATTGTGCGCAGCCTCCTGAGCCCCAGAGCAGAGCCCAGGGCTGCTGGTGGAGCCGAATTGAGTGGAATCTGGCAATAATGAGCAAGCAGGACAGAGGCCAAGCAGGGAAACAGAATATTCTGATCTGCCTGTGTCATGGTGTGGCTTGGAGGGCGCAGGCACAGGGAGAAGTGGGGAGCAGAGCCTACAGTGCAGGGCAGGAGTGGCTTGAGGATTGTGCAGAAGGGAGAAAAGGTCAGGAGGTCCTGATACCCCAGCACCGGCCCCAGGCCTGGGAGAAGGGAGGTTCCTTTGAAGGATGAGGAAAAATTCTGAGGAGCAACTTTTAGGATGAGGGAAAATTCTAAGGAGCAACTTTTGGGAGGAATGTGGAATCCAAGGAGCTGGCATATCTTGGTATGGAAGGGCCAATAGATAGTCGGGGTGGAAGATGTTAGAAACTTAAAGAAAGGGGACCACGTCGGGGGTGTTTGCTGAAGGAGGAGCATGGGATGCAGTCTTCCAGAAAGAGGATGGAGGGACAAAGAGAAGAGGGGGCTAAGGATAGAGCTTCAGGGAGCACTCACTTTGAAGGAACCAGAAGGGGGCCACCAGGAGTGACAGCTCCCTCCACCCAGGCCCTGGTCTTTATGCCAGGTGTGATGAGCACCAGAGGTGGAGAGATTGAGAAAGAGCAGTGTGTGCCAGCCAAGGCTGTAGCCCATAGAAATGAAGACACCTAGTAGGGCCACAACCCAGGAGTTGTCTGAACAGACCAGGATTCCCCTCCCCCACTCATCCACACACAAAACTAAGTAGAAACAGGAGCCATAGCCACAGCAGTGAGCAGCCCCAACTGCCCAGAGGACATGGAGAGGCTTAGGATGGGGTCCCAGGGTCCCAGAGGGTCATTGGCACAGGGGCCATGCACTGCCATCTATATACCTGAAAAACTGTGGGTCAGGCCTGAGTGGCAGCAGAGAGACACAAACTAGATGTCCTGAATCGTGGAACTTCTGGAGGCCCAAGTCACTGGCTAGAGGGGACTGAAACTCAGATTTTAGGCACCTAAAATCCTGAGGGGCCAGGAGAGGGATCTCCTACACCTCCACTGTTCCCCTTTCCCCATAAGGAGCAGCAGCAGGTCATGTGACCGGCAGGCAGAGCGTTAGCTCCATGAACCTGATGTTCATTCTGTCTGTCACTTGTCTGACCCCTAGATGACAGTCAGCAAGGCCAGCAAGGGCAGCATTGTCTCCTGCCGGGGCACCCAGGGAGCTGTGTATAGACGCAAGAAGCGTCACTTGCCCTCATGCCCACCTGACTGAGTGTTCCCTCCTGGTGCCCAGCTGAGCCACCCGCTCCACCAGAGTGCCCATGCACCCTGGTTTGCCCAGGAGAGCCCTGGTTACACTGGCATGATCACTGGTCATGCTTCCCTTTCACTCTTAGAGCTGTTCCAGGCTGAACAACAGAATATATGGCCACCAATCCTTGGGGAGGAGGGGCTCTTTGCAGCCCTGAGCATGACAGATATGTACCCCCTACTCTCACCTCAGCGAGCTGACATGGAACTGGGTGCCTTAGAAAGTCACAGGACATTATGTAAAGGTTCCTCCTGATGTCTGGAGGAACCTGCACCTCTGGAATGCATATGGCATTCCAGTTGGTGCCTGCTGCCCACAGACTTCCAAGGAGAAAGGGGGTGTGGTGGGGTGGGGTGGATTGCAAGTGCACCTCATTAATCCACCCCAGGGCACTTCGTGCAAGAGTCCTCTAACCCTGAGAGGTCTGGGCTAGCCTCTTGAGGTAGAAATCCCCGTGAGCAAGAGGGGAACAGAGAAACTGAGGAAACCAGCAAGCACCTATCTGCAGAAGAGCTCCCTCCCTCTCCCAGCCACCTCCAGACACCACCTCTCCCCCTTGATGTTCTCATGGGAGCAGTGTTTCACTGTGTCTGGCTTTGGCTTGCCTGGCAGGTGCCCCCTGGGCCATCCCCAGAGGTGGACCTGTCCCCTGGGACC